CTTTCTTTCTTTCTTTCTTTCTTTCTTTCTCTCTCTCTCTCTCTCTCTCTTTCTTTCTTCTCCTTTCTCCCTTCCCTTCCCTTCCCAAAAATTCAATCGAAACTTTCTCTCTCACCTTTTTTAAATTTTGTAATGCTAATGTCCTCTTTGGGAGAGGAGACACCCTCTAATTGCATTAGTAAACATGCCTGTACACCCATGCTTTAATCATCAGTTAAGCAAACCACATGTAAGGATGATTTTAAACCAACTCCTCTGAAAGTTTTTGTGGCTGTTCTTTATCATGTTCCATATTGTAGTGTATTATCAAGACAAAAAGGGAAATTAGATGGTAGAAATAGATAGAGAGCGTGAGATGCAAGTTAGAAAATTAGTTCAACTTTATTTTGAATCTCACTTGAATAAATTGCATTAGGCAAACCAACTTCAATATTTGACCTGAACTGGAATTAAACAATTTCAGCTTTAATTAGTCATTACTAACTTGCTCTGTTGATTTCAATGTTTGTTCAGACTGTGATGAACAGAGCAATCCTATTGCTCAGAACACTTTAGAATCCTAATTTTTTCAATGTTTAATGTTTAAAGCAATGCAATGGGGCAGGATCTCATGGATCCTTAATTCCATCTGGCCATCTCCCATTATATCTAATTATTATTATAATTATTATGATCTGTGATCAGGGATTTGGAAAAAGACCAGCCATATGATACAAGAAGGAATCTGACTTCCCTGTCCAAGGTCAAAGAGAATTCTGGTATAACCATTGTTAATGAGATGTTGGCCTACAAAACATAGGATTACTTTGTAAGTTTAAATACATACTATTTTTTCCTTAATCTACTGTTGTAAAAATGAGCAAGGAAAAAAAAGGAAAGCTGAGATCTTAAAGCTGCACAAAACTAAATACCTAATGGTTCAACTAGTTTTCAAGATATTCTTTGTGAGGGAGATAAAAGTAACAGTGAATATTTACATTACATTATAAAAGCAAAAAATATCATGACAAATCCAAAAATGTAAGTGTATTATTTAAATAATGCTGTCTCTGTCTGTCTGTCTGTTTAAAGAGTCCAGCCCAGCCCTTGGACTCTGAATGGCAGGACCTACAAATCTGAGCATAGACAGGACATGGGCTCAATTTAATTTATTTAAATTAAACATAAACTACAATAAAGTTTAATAAAACACAGCTACTATGATCGCTCTCCTGTATTTAATAATTATTCCATTCTGCCATATCCAACATTTTCAGCTTCGTGGAACTGACTGAAGAGGCTTTAGGAACAATGGTGGAAGGTCACACTTGGCCTTCTGACTTCAGGTTGGGCCCTTATAATACAATTTTTAAACCTTATAAACAAGGTATAGATTTCTTTTTTCTAAATGAGTGTATTTTATATTTCATAAGGGTGATATAGCCATTTAGTGATACTTCTATTTTCTCTTCCATTATATAATGTGCAGGAGGTGCCACTAAGTCAACTTCTATCATGGGGCTCTGTGTTTGTGTGATTGCTGAAGTATAAATTAACTAAACAGCTTTGGTCAGCAACAGTTCCTCTTTGTTCATCTGTAATATGGGAATAATAGCAACCGCCCTCATGGAATGTTGGAATTGCAAACAATAAAGCATATTTCAAAATGAGTTTTCCCTATGAGAATGGGCACAGTACTTCTATTCCTTCTGAAATAAATGACAAGTACTCAGATCCAATGCTTAAACTACAATGCCTATGGAGAGGAAACTATTTGCATTCTTCAAAACCAAAATCTGCATTCACTGAAAAATACATATCGATGAGGAGTAATAGTATATTGTTATGGAAACAAATGGAGCATCTTGAGGGTTTCAAATATAGGTTTGTTTGTTTCTTTTCCCTTTCAAGTCAGTGCTGACTCCAGTTGACTGCTAGGACTAGTCCCTACAGTTTTTTTGGCAAGGTTTCAGAAGCATTTTGCCATTTCTTCCTTCCTAGGGCTGGGAGAGAAGGACTGGCCCAAGGTCACCCAGTTGGTTTTGTGCCTAAAGCAGGATTAGAATGCACAGTCTCCTGCTTTCTAACCTGGTGCCTTAACCACTATACCAAACTAGCCATGAGAAATTAGGAGGAGAAATTACTCAGCTAGTTAGGAAATAGAAAAACCATCTGAAGCAGTTAACTGTTGAAGGCTTGAGAATCTAAAGCTGAAACCTTTTGGGGGTTCTGTTGCTCTTTCTGGTCATTTTCAATTTGGGGCTTTTATTTCTGCACTAATCTACTGTGATGGAAAAATAATAAAATAAAACTGGAAACTCTCCCCCCCCCACCTCTCCTGCAGCAAACCTTTTAC